AAAAGTAATTTTTAAACGCATATTATTTTTAAATAGCACATTCCATTTCCCTTCATAGATGTAGGTATATAAAAAAAAGTTCATTTTGAGGCCTATTTGGGGCCACTTGATTGTTTCCGAATAATATAAAGCACGATGCAATAAAACATAATTTTTACAACAAGATTTTTATTTCGACAAGGAGCTGAAATTTTCTAGGCATATTGAAACGTAAGCTAATAAATCTAATAAACTTCTTAGACTGATCAGACGCTCTTACGAGTTCCTAGATGCAGAAACAATGAAGTTTTTGTTTGTCGCTGTTGGACGCCCGAACCTATATTGTGGAAACACCGTGTGGTTACCATACCACCATAATGCCTAGCACCATATCGAAACTGGTGGAAGTCTAGTAGCCATTTAAAACTATCGTCAGTTTTGAAAAGACCCGGTCAGAGGACCTATGAACAAGTCAATTATGAATGCAGGGCCGGGTTGCTCATTGGTTACAGTTCAGAGTACCAGGATTGGAGCAGAGAGGCGCGGGTTCGATCCCAGCTCTGTGCGCCAGTTTCTGGTCAGAATCGGCGAGGAGGCCGGGCGGTTAAACACAGCAGAATTGTAGCAGTGAGTTGCGAGTTCGAGACCGCAAAATGCTGTGAATGTTCTGCGATGTTAAGAATGGGCGACAGGCCTACGGCCTAATAAACGCTGAAACCGCTATTATATTATTATTATATATTATATAATTAAGGGAGGTACAAGGATCGGGGACTGGCCACATCAGGTCTATTCTGCAGTGCCATACTATGGGATGAATTGACATGAAATCTTCTATTCTACCGACTATACTGTCCAGATTGGAACAAAACTTGTAATATACATTGACATTGCTGGCTACATAAACAGTGAGGTTCAGGTGTGAAATTTTTTCGTTTGCGCCTCTGATCGCGAGTTATGCCGCTATACGGAGCCACGACTGGCATTCGTGTGGCCGATTGTCAAGTTTGCAGCGAGCCTGAAATATATTCCAAATCAATTAACGCAGCTCGATGAAACTTTGCACATGCATTTATTAGCCTATAACGGTGCTATTAGCCTATAACGGTGCCACCCTCGTTCAAACGGCCGCTTGTCGAAGGACGATAAATTTTGGAACAGAACTATGCTATCTGAAACTTAACCTTGGATGCGGTAAACGTGAAATTACGTAATTTAACGATGCCCGGAAGTCATATTCGATCCGTGACCTGGTGGTGCACGGCAGGTTTTATGCAAGGCCAGAGGAGGACAAAGCCGAGCGCTGTACTGCCAATTGGTGGATGTCCGGAGAAATCCAAGGCGTTCGATTCAGGGCTTATTGGTGCACAAAATTGGTGGTGCACGGCTGCGCTCCCCAAATGGCTTAATTTTTTTTCTTCTATCCTACTGCATATATTTTTGCGTATAACTTTGAAACGAAGGAGATATCGACAAAATAAGTACCACCTGAATACAGTGCCGGAAATGGCTATACGACCACCCAGTTTTCTACAAATATTTTTTCTTGCACAAACAAATATGAGATTCGAATTGCACGAGGTTAAACTACGTTTAAAAACGGTTTCAAAGCTATGCGATAAAAATAATTTTCTCAAAATATATGAGTAGAAATTATGAAAATTAGAAAAACCTAGGTGGAAATGGTTATATAACCAAGATATGTTTTTCCGTTAGTGGATCACATACACTCATTTTAATAGGCAATCTCACCTCCTTTCGCCATAATTACCTCAATGCATCTTCTCCCCACGCTATTTACCATATAATCCAGTGTCTTTTGATAAATATTATCCCAAGAACGAAGGATAGCCGACGCCGTGCTCAGGTCACTCACAGATTGGAACTGTCGCTCATTTTGGTAAACATCCCTCGCCATGATGCCCTACAAGTTTTCAATGGGGTTGAGGTCAGGACTAAGCGCCGGCCACGGCAACAGAGTAATATTCTGCTCTAGGAACCACATGTTTGCTGATTTTGAGGTGTGAATCGAAGCATTGTCATATTGAAAAACATATGATCCCTCATGTTTCTCATCGGCAAAAGGGAGAAGTTGGTAAAACAGCGTGTGCTTGTAAGCCTCGGAATCTTGTCTCCCATGTAAAATAGCTAGAGTTGATTTTCCCTTTCGGCTAAACGCCCTCCAAACCATTACCGAACCACCACAAGATTGCCGCTTGGAAAAAAATTCAGGCTTACGGTCCAGTGGTGCCAATAGCATTGCCATCTATCTGGACCATAAAGATTGAACTTTTTTCATCACTGAAGATAATCTTGTGCCATCCCTTACCAATAAGCAAATTTTTTCAGCAAATTTTTGTCGGTTGATAATATGCTTTTGTTGGAGCACAGGGGCATTTTTCCTCGTCATGTATTTGAAATTCTTCGAGTCATGCAAAATCTAACGGATGCGTCGTGCTGTCACCTCAACTCCAGTGGCCAATTTTATAGAGGTAGAGGTACGTAGCGCAAGTTCGAAGCCTTAGAACAGTCTCCTAAGATCCATGTCGGTTAATTTTGGGGTTGGTCCAGTGTGCTTTTTTCACCCGTAGCCGTCCGGATTAGCAAAAAAATGATTGTGCAATGGGTTTTGAGCGTTTTATACCCATTGAGATGTCCCGTTGGCTTCTACTGCATTTCACAAAGCCGAAAATCGGCGCCTTCTCGGCCTCAGTGAGTCTTGCCCCATTTGGCATATTTTTTTACTTCAATAAAAATATAAGTGAGGACACTGAACTACACCAGAAGTACACCAGAAAGGCCCTAAATGACGAAAATCAGGTTTTTTTATATTGCTGTACTTTTTAAAGTGAAAATATTACAGAAAGATAGCAACATGGAGAAAAACCTATCCTGGTCTTATGACCATTTCCACCTAGGTTTTTCTAATTTTCATAATTTCTTCTCATATATTTTGAGAATTTTTTTTTTGCATAGCGTTGGAATCGTTTTTAAACACAGTTCAACCTCGTATAATTAGAATCCCATAATTTTTTGTGCAAGAAAAAAATATTTGGAGAAAACTGGGTGGTCGTATAGCCATTTGCGGGACTGTATAACCATTAGGCCCTACTGAGTCCATGTGCAAAGTTTCATCGAACTTCGTAAATTACTTTGCAATATACTTTAGGCTGACGGCAAACATGATAATCAGCCACAGAAACGCTTGTCGTTTCTCCGTATAGCCGTATAACTCGCAATCGAAAAAAAAAAAAATGTTGACGACCTGCACATCACTTATTGGTGGTTAGGAGTGTATATTCAAAGTTTCGTTAAAATGTGTACAGTAGGATAGAAGATATACCAGGCTCACTGCAAATTTTTGACCGTATGACCGTATAACTCGAAGGCGAAGACGAAATTGAAAAAAAAGATCACTACCTCAACGGCACAGTTAGGTACTATTGAACACGTATTGTGTTCATTAGTACCTACAAAGATTCATCGAGCTGCGTTCATTAGTTTTAGTTCAGACTCACTGAAACTTGGGGACCGGCCGCGAGTCCGGCCGTAAAAGTATCCGAGAGGTCTCGCCCTCAAATCGTCAGCGGACTTGAATGCAACTTTGGTATACTCGACAGCGTACGCGTCTCGAAAGTTCCCAGTAAATCACTAAATAACTTGATAAGAATTAGCAGGCTTTTATCTCCTCAGTTATTTCGAGTCTTAAATGTAAACAGTACTGATCAATCGTTTGTTTGAGACTATATGCGTGAAAAATAATTTCTTCGTCTCTCAACTTGCTTCCGTGTGGTTGTGTGCAGTAATTTGACACATATTTAACTTTTGTTTAACTAAAGATCACGTTGCCTTGGCTACAAAGTGCATGTGTCATATTTAAACTGAGCAACTTGGCGCATACCAGCAGTTGTTGCCATTGAAAACATAAAAACTTGAACTCCGGGAAACAAATCTTGATGGACAAGGATGGACCATCGATGGATTTGATATCTCTTGAATTTACTTTATGTTCCATCTCATGCTATTACAGGTCCGTGAAAAATTAAAGTTTATCATCTTATAAGAATAGAATAGAAGTGTCGGCGTTGAAGAAATAGGCCCATGGCCTGTTGCCGATTCTTGAACTTTTCGTGACTTGATTCACAAGGGATCCGGCCTTTGGAACCCGATCTTTCCATAGCTGACGATTGATTGAGATAGCTGCTGGACTTATTGCCTGGTCCGTAATTTGCTAGGACCTTTAAGACTGAACATATGCTCCTGCATAGCTTCGTCTAGTCTGTTTTTGAAGATGTTAAAACTCGGAGCGTCAACGATGCTATCAGGGAGGCTGTTCCACATGTCGGTGACTCGAAGCGAGAAGAAATGTTGTCGCATGGATGTGTTCCAACGCTGTTTTTTTAGTTTATAGCCGTGGCCCATGGTGTTGGTTCATGTTTCAAATTCTAGTACCCCTTCTGGGGCCTTGTATAAGTCATGAGTATACTTGTATACTTCAATGAGGTCCCCAAGCAGACGTCAATAACTGAGGCTTGGAAGCATCATAATGTTTAATCTTTCCTCATAGGACTTGCCTTTCAAGCCCGGAAATATTTTTGTTGCGCGTCTTTGAACACTCTCTACTAAATTTCTGTCCTTTTCAAGTTTCGGTGACCATACGACGTTTCCAAACTCTAGGTTCGGGCGCACGACAGCAACAAACAACTGCTTCATCGTTTCTGAATCTAGGAACTCGAAAGGGCGTCTGATCAGTCAAGTCGTTTATTGGCTTTATTAACTTGACCTTCAATGTGCTTAGAAAATTTCAACTCATCTCCTAAATGCTTTTCCGTTGTCGACTTCGACATCATCACTCTGTCGTTGCAACCAATAAATTTTTGTGATTTTATTTTCAAAATAAAAATTTTTGCAAATCATCAATAATTTATTTTGGATTTTCTGTTTAGGTTTTTGGTCCTAATACATATTCAGTAACAATTTCAGAAGCTTCCCATATGGCAACACGAGAAATGTCCGCGCGCGTTTTGTGTCAACCAATTAGAAGGCAGTTGGCCATGATGTTGTGTAGAGGCTGGTGACTTGCAGCCATTGCATAGAATTTCAGTGATGGTGGATTTTCAACCCCTGTGTCAACAAACATCCTCTCAGATGATCATACAATAGGTAAGTCGCCAATTCTACATGTGAATTTGTTCAGCAAGTTTTCGTGGCTCGTAAGCATGAGGTAAAAACTTGTTTATTGCGTGCAACGTGTGACCAGGTGGCGAGGAATTAACCATGTTGATACTTGCACCACATTCCGTAGTCTCGTGCACCGAGGATGAAACGTTTATCAGGCGTTCGATTATCGATATCGCTTTAGAAACGTTCCGGTTCGTATCTAATTTTAAACGTAGGTCTATCTTAAGGATTTGCTTTAATCGACCTCATTTACTAATCGGATTAAGAGTATTTACTAATTTTTCGTCAGGTTTTTACGTCCACAAATCGACATGCTCGATTCTGGCTTATTACATAACGTGCTTGAATTCCTTCTAAATCTGCTCTAGAAGTTTACATTTCATAAATATCAAGGTTTTAACCAATACTTTATTACTACTTAGGTATCATTAAAAAAGCAACTTTTTTCTACGCATGTATCTTGAAAGATATTGACATCAAATGCCATTGTAACAGTGAACAGTGAATTGTAGCACGGGTAAAGTGATTGTTTTTATTTTCTTTATTTTGGACAGGAAGAAAGATCATCTCTTGAGTTTCATACCTACATCTTTCTGGAATGAAACTTTAAATTTGATTCAAAGTTTTTGATGTGTAATGAATTGAAATGAAATGCTTTATCTATATCTTTGAATCTGAATTACATTAGGTACAATTAGGTAGGGTAAATGCGGTATATTCCGTCATCGTGGGTAATTCCATCACCTCTCTAGCTTTTCCTTTATATTAAGCTTTGTTTTAGTTCCATGCATAGTGGCAAAGCAGAGAGTTTTTTAGACTCTCCCACAAGTTCATTTTTGAGCCCTATAAGTAGCCAAGTAAAGTATCCTGGATACCAGCATTATCATACTTAAGAAATTGGTTTAAATCTTGAGTAAATGAGGAAATTAAAAATGAACTGATTCTAAAAAAGCTCTGGTTTGCCACTATGGTTCCATGCGTTCGTTGATGGTTGAAAATTGAAATGATGACGTCATACATTTGTGCGTCAAAGTTCAAACTACTGCCAAAACACTAGGTCTTGGCCATCTAGTGGGAAAATCTTGAGATCCAAAGAGACAATGCACGCTACCCAGTGACATCATCGAAAAATGTGTCAAATTTGACAGTTGACCTTGCAGTACAAAATAGTGAATAACTGTTTGTATAGGAAGAATATTATGGTTTGAGACTTATAAATACGTCTGTGAATATATTAGGAATCCTTTAAGTATACATGTATCCACTGATTCCAAGTGGTAAATAAATTAATAGATGATTAAGTTGAGAAATGGATTTAGACACATGAAAACTAATTCCATCACAACTTGAATTGGACACACACAGATCGTTCCTAGCTTTGTACAAAATTAAAATTTGCTTAATTAAAAGCTTAATAGTTGTTAAATAAAAGCATAATTAAGTAGTGTTCAATATTCATTAGTGTTCTAATTCAAAGCTGTGTTGTATTAATGTATTCCAATACAGCTCACACAGCGAATGGAATTTGAACACGTGGATGACGGCATTACGTATCAGTAGAATTTGAAGCGCGGACGGAATACGCCTCACCATGTGCCAAATATTGCCACACACAGTGACAGAATATAGGGATTTGGTAGGTTTGCATTCTAAAGGCTTTTACATAAATATGGCAACATTTTGTGACGTTTCATTGTTGCCGACGCGTAGTATGGTGTTTTGAGAGTCACCTATAGCCAACAGAACTTGAGTAACGCATACGGTTATTTTTTTATAGTTTTTCATTTCTCGATGCATCCTTAATGTGACGGAATATACTGCGTTTACCCTAGATCAGATTTATTAACAGGCTGGAATTCTATAATTTGTGGTTTACATAAAAAAAGTGTTCTGCCTTAAAAAAAACGTTCTAGGCAACTAGAAACAGGTTTGCAGGCCGTCAGACTCAGAAATTGGCTTCAGTTACAGTAGCTAATAGCTATGATCCTATGAACGTCAAGTCAGCCGTCGGGCAACACAGAGAAGGTCCCATGCAAGATTGTTAATTGCACGCTTCACTCTCAGATAAGCAAGAGGGATGGATCTACAGAAGGAAATACTATTTACTCCCAACATAATAGTTTCAAATTAAATATAAAAAAACATATATGGCACCTATTCATTACCTCAGCTTTCAAATTGAGGAGAAACTCATAGGCAGTTGGAGAAACTTCTCGAAGAAAAGGCAATGCACAACAAACAACATGACACTTCACAGTTGACTGACTAGAATAGACTCAATAGGTAGTCAATAAAGTACTCGAAAGTCATAAATTTAGCATTCTTTAGATTCTTTAGATTCTTTCCTTTAGATTCTGTGAACATTGTGATTTCTTCATTATTAAAACTTGTGAAGGCTCACAATATATCACGTACAGTTTTCACTCAATTATCGTCTCGAAGTTCGGGAGCTTAATCTGCAGTAATGACTGTAATGTTCTGTAGTTACCTCACCCACCGTCAGCCACCGATTGCTAATGAGAACTAACCACTAACCATCATTAGATTCCTGCCACTGTTGCACACAATTGATTCTGCATGCAGTATAATATTTATGAAGGTTATTAAATCATTCTGAGTTCTGTTGAATGTCTGTTACTGATGAATTTTTAATATAAAAGAATTCATATCATTAATTTTTTCACATGACTATATCTATGTCGTTTTCACATTGGTTGCCAGTGCAGTTGGTATCCCTGTTACCTTCTTTGTTTACATTTTTTGTTCAGCTGTTCGCAATGAAAGGAGATTGTATGTCTCAGCTGATTGCATTGGTGGTCAGTTTTGTATTTGTAGATTGAATCATAGGCAGTTTTTCATGTATTTGTGAGTGAGTGTACATAGTGAAGATGTTATTCTTTGTGATTTCCATCAATAATGACATAACTACGCTATTGTATTACACTCGTGAAATAAGAATTGTAGCATTACGCATTAAGTTAGCATCAGTGCGTTAACATTGTGTGCATTTGAGGCGGTCCCTTCTAGCTTTCTATTGCTGATTGGATTCCAGTGGCTGTGACGTTGCACACATTCTAGTGATGATTGGATCCCTGTGACAGTACGTTGGACGCCTTCAAGCGTTGATTGGATTCTTGTTACTTATGTTGGACGCGTTCAAGCATTGATTGCATTCTTGTTACTGTGATGATGCAAGCACTGTTTTTTTCAATGAAACAGCTGTGGCATCTTGCAGAGACTCATCAGTGATGATGATGGACGGAAAGTGGAAGTGTGCTGGATGTTCCAGATTTTTGGGTCCTGCTTCCCAATTTGCTATGTTTACCAGTTAATATATTACCCCTCTGGAATTTCACACTGGATCAGAATTAACTTGACATGCTATTCATGCTGCACATGCTGCTGGCTCAAATTCTAGGAATGGTGGTCCATTATTTAACCTTGATCTAAAAAGCTTGATCACCTGCTTTAACCAAAAATTTCAGCCAAGTGGCAGCCTGGCAGGTGATGAATCATATTGGAATCAATTCTGAAAAATCTGGCAGAAGCAACCTGTGAATGGGTTATGGGATGAAAGTGTTTGTTCTTATGAGTTATAATCAATTCTATCCCCTTGTACTATGACATTTTCCTAATTTATTCCAGTGATTAAATTACTGTAAAATTGTAAAAAATGTCTATTTTTGCCTACAACTTTCAAACATTGCTTGTACAGCTAATGTTTTGAGTAAAACATTAGCTGTACAAGCAATGTTTGAAAATGGTGCAATTACATATCAATTTAAATTACCTTGGTAATTTGAGTTTTGTGAACGCCAAACTTAAATTTGAGGAACGGCTCGCAGCCTCCGGCAGACAACCAGACGCGACAGCAGACAACCTACCACGCTGACAGTCTAGATAACACTGCCTGTGGCAGTGCGGCTGCCAGCTGCGCATTGAAGATTGCGCTCACAGCAGTCGTCGTGTAAGCGGTATATCAATGCAAATTGCAAAATATTCATGGACCGCAAACACAGTCTTAACTTACTGACGGGATGCAAAATGACTCTAATCTTCAAGATCATTTATAAATTAATGAAAGCAACATTCTTCCTTAAACAAACACTGGTTTGCACAGAAAAATTTTTGCTAATAATAATTTTGACCTCAGTTACATGTATTTCTTCATAAATTTAATGCTTTTTACTTTTATTTAGTAAATGACAGGTTGATCAGGCAAGATGGCAAGCTGTATTGCACTTCACAATCATTTACATAAGTTTTAAACCGAAATACCCAGTAAAATTAAAAAATACTTGAGGAAAAGCAAAGAAGTATTTCTATAACCTATCAGAAATTATTTCAATAATTATATTATTATTATCAGTTCAAAATGATAAAAATAGATAAAGTCATTGGCTAATTACACTTAACTTGTTGAAGATTATTGACACTTCACTTGAAGTAAATGAGAAAAGAGGATGCAACTCCACTGTCATGGACCGAGTTCTTGTAAAAATAAATAGAAAACAATTTTTCAATTCAATAAGAATTTCGTTGTTATAATATATTTTTAAATAATCTCAACAGATGTCTGAAATTTTTTTCTAAATGATAATAAATCATGCCAAATTAAGACAGGGCTAAATGAATTGAGACAGGAGGGCTAAATTTACGTAAAAACATTTATAGATATAACATGATTTCCAAATTATTTTTAGATAAAAAATTGAGTTTCAATAAAATAGAAAAGAATTATTGGATCTTAATTTCTATTATCATTTGCAATAATTATTGGTTGAATAATTAGTAACAAGATTCGCTATTATTGTATTTGATATGAAAGTGCTTGCAATGACACAATCCTCATGTCGTAGCATATGGAATATCGAACCACAAAGATGAAATATACTGAGAGCAATTAGCCATGCCACACATCGAGGTAAGTGAGCCCTGCTCAAACGGTCTGCCGGACTTGCTGCCAGTCTCCAAATAAAATA